TCTGTCTATAGACTTTATAATCTCGATTTGGCTCGACCTGTGAAAATTTAAAGTAATAAAGCGTGAAATTAATTTCCTTCATAATTTAAAATTTACTCAGCATGTTCTTCGTTATTAAAGAAAGAAACTTAGTAAAAATTAACTAATCTTTAAATCAAATGAACTTTATTAATTTTTATTTAACTCTTTTTAATTCCTATTTGAAAAGTATGAATTTGTAATATTAAAATGATTATCATTATATGTGCACACAAATGATCTACTTCGTTAAAATCTAATTTTTTTCTCAAATATATTCACTTATTTTTATAATTTAAAAAAAAATTAAAGATAGTTCACTAGAAATTTCGAAATTCATCAAAATTCAAAAACATTCGAGATCTCGATTTTTAGAATTTTAAATTTACAATCAATTAAGGAATATAACTTGTGCATATAATTTCCGAAAATATTCCGACAATATCAATACAATTTAACTAAAATAAATCAATTAACTAAGTGTTTAAACTTTAATACGATTTCATCAATGTATTTAAAGAATAAAAGATAAATATATTTAATCTTATATAAACCAAAAATCATTATCATTATTATTGATCAATTATTATACAAATTTCAATTCAAAAAATTCATTTTATATTCTTGATAAAAATATTTCGAGAAGAAAACGAGGATTTTTGAGTTTCAAAGAAGAAAATTTCAATTCGTCTTTTAAAAAAAAAACTGTTTCTATAAATGTTTCGGTTTAATGGCATAGGGAAACCGGTAACTTCTGTAACGACTATTATCACCGAGGGTCTGGACTGGACGTCGAGCTAACAAGAGTAGGGACGACGCTCGAGGAGGGTACCGAGGTCGCGGTCGCGGTCGCGACTTCCGGTTCTTGAAGGCGCGTACGCGCCAGCTCGGAGACGCCGTGGGAACCGACTTCCTCCGCGGTATGCTCTTTTTTTTCTTCTCTCCTTCCCGTGCGTGGTGAAAGTAAAGCGGGTGAAGGCGTGCACTCCTCGATCCCATACTTTCGTACGTG